CCCCCAGCACCTTCCCCCCAGGCCCCCCGCCCCAGCTGACCCCAGGACCTGCTCCCAGAGCCCCGCCCTGCACATGAGCCCGGGCGCCCGAGGCAGGGACGGACCCACCAGCCCAGGGTTTAAGAGGTTGGAGGGGGTAAAAAAGAGAAAGCAAAGCCCCCCCCGCTTTGAGCAGCCCTGCGCTCTTCCCCAGAGAGGTGTTGCAGGTCTGCGGGAGGTCTAAGGAATAAAGTGCTGTTCGAAAAATCCTGCAACATGTAATGTTTTTCTGCTTCAGCAAAGTTCAAGGAGAGCCGCTGCGCTCCTCTGCCTCTGGTGTAAGCCCTGACTCCAAGGGAAGCTGCCCTAGCTCTTCCCTAGGGCTGTCAGAGCCCCTTCTCTCGCCCGGAGCTCGGAGGGACTGCTGCAGCCCAGAGTCCTCCCTTCCCTATGGATGGGGAAATTGAGGCACGGGGAAGGCGGTGTCAGTACCTGCTGTGCCCCAGCACACACCGCCCACGCAAAGGCTTTGGAAGCCCCCAGGACGCAGGGACAGGCCAGCGCTGGGTGACGAATGACGAAACCTCCCGTGCCCTTGGCCCCCGCTCCGTGCCCTCCCAACGTGTTCCAAATAAACCGGGGGGCAGGGGGGGGGAATAAGCAGGGCCGGGAGCACGGAGGAGCTGGCTGCTGAGCCCCTGACCTCATCGCTGACTCATGAGGATGTCCTAATCCGTCACCTTGCTTTGGTTACTGCAGGAATTAAGAGAGGGGAGGTTTTGGACGCAGGAACAACTGGAGAGCGCAGGCGCCGCGGGGCAGAGCTCTGGGAGGGACAGCGGTGCTGCCCAGCATTGCGCCCCTCTTCATCCTGTGGGTCCCTCCGCACCCCAAACCTGGGACATTTTGGGGGGAGAGAGGGGAAACCCCTCCAGACCCCGGGCCGGCACCTCCAGAGGTAGGGTCACACCTTCCGCAGGTCGGACACGGCGAGATGCAGCCACACACAGAGGAGCAGCATCCCTGACCTTGAACGTGGCCCCGCTCCCGGGGGGACCCTCCTCACCCCCCGACAGCGCCGAGCCCCAGGAAATCGCTGCCTTTTCCTCCTGGGAACCACAAGCACCATCGCACCCTCCCTGTGGCTCCCCGGCATCTCCAAATACCACGGTGGCCATTGCTGGTTTGGGGTTTTTTTTAAACTCTTCCATATCAGGGACTTTTCTGGCTTCTGGCCCCTCTCCCTCCCCGATGGTCAACGAGCGAGGCCAAGCTGGAGCTCGAGCGGAGCGGGAGCAGCCACAGCTGCTTCTCCCCTGCGCACCGTGCCACGGGGGCACTAATTCCACCAAATCCACAACCAGCTGCCGGCAAAAACACCAGGACAAGTCACCATGGCCAGCACATCCTCCACCAGAGACCGGCCACGGCCACGCATCCCCCAGCCTCATCCCAGAGACCTCAGAGCTGGGCAACCTCCCCAGCTGCCAAGGGACCCACAGCCCCGCCACAAATAACCAGGAGCTAATTGAGGGCGGGTAATTAGGCACAGCTGGGATGCGAGAACCAAGTGAGATCTCCCAGGAGATGACCCTGCTGCTACAGGAGTTCGTTAGCAGCAGCACAGGCTGCTGCCTTCCCCGGCCGGAGACCCCCGCTTCCCGCACGGCCCCCTCGCCCCGGCACAGCCTCGATAACCTCGGCAGCATCATCCCTGCTGCACACGTGGCATCGCAGCAAGCGAAGCGTTCCCGGCTTTTCAGCCCAGCGATGGCCTTAGCGTGCCCTGGGACCTGGCAGGGCTCACGGGCAGGGATGGCTGCAGGGCTCGGAGCAATCCCCAGGGCACGGCCGCCTCCGCGCTGGGCTGTAATTACCCTCTGGGCTGCCAGGATCTGGCCCCACGCATTAAATCAGAGCCGGCATCTCCACCAGCTCCCTGCCCAGCCTGGAAATAGCTCCCAGCGGTCAGGCGCTGGCCGGATCCTGCCTCGGGGCAGGCGGAGGGCGGCCGGCAGCAGCGACGGGGGCCCTGACTCACCACGATCCGCGTCTCGTTGGCCGGCAGCGTGTCGATGGCCAGGCTGCCCCCCACCAGGTCCTGGCTGATGCGGGTCCCCTCGGTCCTCGGCGAGGTCTCCTGAGCTCTCCGCCGCCCTTCGCCCGCCGCTGGGCTCCCGGGGAGGTGTCCTGGGGGGGCAGGGGGATGGGTCAGTGGGGCCCCACACGGGGAGGGCACCCCTGGGATCAGCCCTCTCCCCCAGCGAGGCAGCTTCTGCTTAGGTGACACGAGTTTAGGGGGGTCTCAGCCCTGGTAAGCAGCATCACCGCGATAATGGAGATGCAGGGAAGGGCTTCTTGGGTCAGGGATGGGCACGGGGTGCAGGGACGGGTGACAGACACCCACCGCCAGGGGAGGAGAGCTGGCATGGAGGGGTGAAAGGAGGCAAAACACGTACAATCCCCCCAGCTCAGCGCACACCCTGCACACACCAGTGCACGGGGAGGAGTGCGAGGCCCCAGGGATGGGGAAGATGCTGCTTCAACAGCGGGGCAGCGGCATGGCCGTGTCCTCGATGTCCCCAGCCATCGGTCCCCTCCTCTGGGCTGGTTTGGTGTCCAGGTGCCAGGGCAGACTCCAAGCACCCATCTCCCAAAAGGAAGGTGTCCCTCGTCCCCTCCTGCCGCACCGCTCCCTGCCCGGCTCCAGCCCTGGGGAGGGAGCGGAGGCCAGAAACACAGCGCAGCGTTGGGGCGGGGGGATGAAAAAGCCGTTTGGGACCAAATCTGCAGAGATTCATGAGATTTCCTGGCAGCTCGGCACGGGCGGAGGCGGTGCGGACGGCACACGCTCGCCCACGGGCAGGGACAGAGCCAGGACGTCTGTCCCCAGCGAGCGGGACAGCAAAAACAGCCGGCGGGGCCGCAGGCTGCTCCCCTCGCCCTTGGGAGAGGGCTCCTGCCTTCGGCCCGGGGTCCCCGGGGAGCGGGAGCTAATTGCTGCCTAACGAGCTCCCGGTCCCCTCCTGAGCTGTCCCGTGGGGCTGGTTTCTGTCCCCAGCGCCTCCGGGAGGGGAAACTGAGGCAGGGGGGAGCGGGGCTGAGCTGGCAGGAGCAGGCAGCCGGCGGGATGCACCCCACTGCCGACGGATGGCGAAAGGGGTTCTGTGGCTGGGGGTCCTGCTCACCTTCCCTGGGGGCACCGGGGGGCCCCAGCCCCTCGCTGCTGCTGGGAGGTCTGAGGTGCCCCAGGGAGCGGAGCCTGTCCCGCCCGGAGGCTCCGCCGTCCTCCCCAAAATCTCGCTGGACGGCTGCGCCCACAGCCAGGCCAGCACCGGCCGTGCCACAGGGCACCCCGGGTGGGGGAATCCTGGGTGGGGGCACCCCGGCAGCGGGGCTGCAGCCCCCCTGCGCCCCGGGGCTGCCCCGCACGGCTGGGGGGGTCCGGGCACCCCACGGTGCCAGCGCCTTCGCCGCGGCGATGCCAGGGCTGCAGGGGGATGCGGGGCCGGAGGGGGACCCCCACGGCAGGGCCCACGCCGCGGGGGGCCGCTGTGGGGGGGGCCCGCGGGGG